GTTTTGACTTTTATGGCATCATTATACTGTGATATAATGGCTTGATATAACGTTATCCCGGTCGTCAATGGCACTGGCCCTCATACCGAAATAAAATTAATATAGTATACATTAATGCTTTTTACTTTTTCAAGGACCAAGGTGGGAGATGGGTTCATTACACAAGTAAGTACGGTACTAGCTGCCACCATAAATTTTTCAGTACTGCTCACCAGTCAATCAGTGCACACCGAAAGCGCTCATATGAAGATATTACAGAAAGTCATCATCTCAGAATAAAACATCAAGCCATTCTTTTTCTCACCCACCGTCATTATTCATGCCAGAAAGTTTGCGAGTTCTTGTTAATGAAACGTATGGGTGCTGCAACCAAACATAAAAGTGCTTTGAAAAATGAATAATACCCGAAGTGCTAATAATAAACACTAGTAGTTAAGAGGGCTTCGAGGAACAGCGGGCTTAGCAAATTAGCAGGATCGAAATGTGCATGATTGGTATACTAAATGACTTATAGGGTATACGGAATGCATGCTTTTTTTTTCAAATTTAGCGTTACATTGTTTACATTTTGGGTAAAACATGCATCTTGTAATTAAAACATGTTGGTGGTTTTTGATGCCCACTTCAAACAGAATTCAGCAATGGTGTGCACGGATCCACTTCTTCGATAGCTCATAGCAAACGACTGAATAAAATGGTTTCACTCGCCTTCAGGTAGCTTCGACGACCGAGTATTACAGATAGCTTAGATAGCTTAACATAACTTTTTTACGCAGATTCTCTTTTCGAACGTCCCTAGCCCAATTAGAAGATTAGCATAAACAAATCTGCAAGATAAGCCTCCACTTTAGGGGCAATATTTATCATTCTCAGTTTTTTTTTTCTTCTTTTCACTTTTTTTTTGGCACGTTGACCCTCTGCTAGATGATGCCACTGTCACAGCTCAGGCACGTAAACACTATCCTGGTAAGCTAAAACACACTGTGTGCAAATAACATCTGCAGCATGGTAACATTATTACCTTTGCTATCAGACTAACACAGAACTACAACTTTCTATTGCCGCCACAGAAAATGGGCACAAAGATGTCGGTGGTTCAGCAGGAACCACTGACACATTGTGCCAAGACAATGTGTTCCAGAGATCACTGGTGAACTGACAGAAAGTGAGGAGGAAAAAGAGTGAAGTATGCTTCGCAAACTACAAATGCACATCTATGAAAAAAAAAAGAACAACGAATGTGTGGGTGGAAAAGCATGCAGCCAGATAAAGTGAGAAGTTACGGCCATCTGAAAGCATTTTATTGTAACCACTAAAAATAACAAATCCTCAATTGCTCGAGGCACTTGGTGGCACAGAGTATTTGCATGAATAAAATGCCTATTCACAGAAACAACAGAGCTCGAGTATATAACTGATGTAGAAATAACGTGCTTAGCAAAACAACAAACAAAATATACAGACATCCTAGCAACATTTCAAAAGTCCTAAAAATGAAGAAATAATCAGCTTAACCACCCTGCAATAAGCAGAAATGAAACTGAATAAGAATTACAGAAAGCATGTCATAAAAGAAGAAAAGGTGCATGCAGTTGAATCTCATTAATGCAAACTCGTCTACTTCCAACTTTGTGGCATACTTGAACTGACACAACATGTCATTGAGATTACATGCATTTCAAAGAACGAAAATTTCCGGCAATTTGCTTTACGAATTGAGAATGCTGGATAGCGTGACACTCCACCAGCAATGCACATTCAAAAAGTGGTTGTACTGAACGCATGCTGGTCATTACTGCTGAAAGGGCTGCGCAGCCAATTGCATTGCAAGAAAAAGATTGTGGGTACCTCTCAGTGTATCTCTCAGCTCAGCTGACAAATAAGCGAGGACCAGTTTTGGAACATGCCTGACATCGCGGTGCTATGCACAGGTCTCACGTGGAGCACAGTGGATATCATACAAGCGTGCCATTTTTATTTACTATCAAAAATATGATCTAAACGTAGGCTTGCGCCACCACTTATTTTCACTGGCTGCACAATTTGCAAATGTGAATTTCAAATAGCAAGTGTTTCAATGAAACAACAAAACCATGGGAACAAAGATTGGTTATCCTATCCAAACAACAACGGTTACCTTGAAATTAAGGTTATTTCTTGTGGAAGAGTTGGCAATTATAGTAGTACAAACGTCGCAAGTTCGGTCCGTAGCAGCAAAAAAAAAAAAAAAAAGCTGAGTGTAAATGTATCCCAACTTGACAAGTATGTTAATGCAACACACTGTGCCACATTGCTCGACACATCACTGGCCTTTTCTTATAACGAACTGATTGAGTAGAACAAATTCTTGAGGTTCTTGGAGTTTGAATTGCTGAGGTTCAACTGCATAAACATATTAATGAAAATCAAAGATCCCTTGACCAAGAAAAGATGATGAAAGGTAGAGAACATTGACCCCCACATACACTAGAACCTCGTTCATGTGCTGTTGTTATCCTAAACAAGGTACAAACCAAAGCAACTAAAAGACATTATAGCTTCGATCCAGCACAGATGGTAAATAACACTCTAGCACACGATGAAGCTTGTACTATCCTGGGCAAGGTAAATTTGGTGAAGACTTGCATCCTAACAAAAGCACGTTGTAAGACACCTCAAAACACAAGAGCCCACTTAGTGACTGTGGAAGTTTTCTACAACTTAGCTGTTGTGCCTCTTGGTGTTAGTCACACAGGCCTTACACCTTTTCTGGCTCATATCCAATCTACTGAATTGATAACGTATGATGAGGTTGTAGCAAATGAAGCACAGCCAAACAGGATAATTTGCCTTGTTCAAACCTGCCAACGCTGGCACTAGGAAATCATACAAAATGATACTGCATGAACGAGGTTTACTTTAAACCTTTGCACCAATGTATATAAGAAAGCAAATGTTTAGCCCCATGAAAAGTTATCCGTTGCAAACAACATACCGCATGCACCAATTTGAACACTAAAATGTTTTTCTAAATCTGCTTCAAAAAGTTATGCCATTAAAAGATGTGCAAAAGATAAGAAATAGCAGTAAAAATTAAAAGATGAGTAAGAGCAATAAAGTTGGCAGTAGTATGAAAAAAAATATATGGCATGCACAAGTGTGTTATACTACAAGCCCTTAAACCTACCCCATTTTTCTTAAAATTGTCACGATAAGAAAAGTAGCTCAAGATTAGAAAAACATGATCACAGATTTGCATAAAGTATAGAAAAAGAATAAGAAAACAAAATAAAGAATCCTGCTTGAGCAATTTAATTGCTTCTTGCCACTGGCCCCACTAAATGACAACAACGAAAAAATATGCTCCGACTAAGTTTGTGACACGAGACAGCTGCCGTAGGAACTTTGCACCTGTTTATCACAGTTACATTAATTTAAAACCTCCCTTATAAACTTGCCAAACACAAAACCCCAAAGACATGCTTGGCACATAATTGTGTGTGGGATCACTGAAACACCAGCAAATTGCAAGCACGTAATTAGACTGTACAGTGCTCCATTTCTGAGGCAGAAGAAGTGAAATTGCCAACTTGCACAGAGAGCTGCCCACAAAGTACGTAACATTGTATTGCTAGTACGAAAAAAGGTTTCAGCAGCCTTTTGCATGAACACAATTATTCTCGACGTAAATTCTGCAGGTGGCATTGTGTTGTGCAGTTTCGCTTTGTGCTTTATTTGCAAACTGCTACTTGGCATGTTTCCCCAGCAATACATTGATAAGTAGCAGTCACTTTCTGCTGCAGCACTACTGAAGTCTGCCTCTTCCTCTAAAAAAAAACTCCGACAGCGACGATCAAGCGTAAAAAGCACTTTCATTTTTAAGATGCATTCCGTCCTGCACGAGTGTGTGATATCCTACAGTAACTCTCTGGCAATGACTGCTTTTGGTTGAGTGTAATAATGTTGGGCACTTTACGGCATGCCCTCCAACATGAGAATTAGAGCCTAGAAGAGCCACAATGAGCAATAAGTAGGATATGACATACAACAAGCATCTTGCAACATCCTCATCTGTGCAGTCAGAGGCTGCTCCCGATATCATTGTTGGGAGTGGCAGTGTGGGAATGAAGCAAGCCAATGCAAGTCAGCTTCGAGGATTGCAGCCCCTGGTTACGAGCCCCAATGAAGTCCTATGGGGGGGTTTAAAACGTTCTGGTGTTCAGTGAACTCAACGCTATGAGGGCGGGGCCACAAAATAAAACCAGTTTAAGAGCAAGATGGGGGAAGTGTTCAGAAAGAGAAGAGTCCCGAAGGGCTCTTCCACTGGGGCCATAGCTTGGAGCGCCGCCGAGGCCACACACGACGCGTCGGGGTTCCCCACATGCATACTGCCGCTCTCCGCCGCTAGAGGGAGAAACACACGTGCTCAACCGTAAGTGCCTTGTCTTTAAAGACAGGAACACAATCCTTTTATCAGCAACACAGGGCTCGGTCATCTGCACCTGTGCTTGTGAGAGCGCAGGAATAATGCTAATGACTGTCGAGTACACGCCATAATGAGGAACAAATAAACGCACCTATGGACCCCTGAAAAGTGTAACATTAGCATAATGCTCTTCAGAACCGACAATTTCACCCAGCGACCATGCAAGTGCCCTAGTTCTATTTATAGGGCTTTTTGCAGAGAAAGCCGAAATAATTGAGGGCAATAGAGTAACAGCAAGCTTGATAATGCACCCAAACCCTGTACATACTGCTCCCTTACTAATAAATCACCATTCATAGATACAAGCGTTCAAAGAACTACAGAAAATCTGATCCAGTTACCCTCTGCCATTCATTTCTGTAACAACTCAGTATAAAAGATCCCCCAGATGGCACCCAATAAACGTACCGGGGAGGCGGAAAAGCAGTGCACATGACCACAGCGAAGAATAAGACTGAAAAGACCCACTGAAGAGCCAAACTGGCTACTGGGCAGAGGGGCGACGTGAAGAGCACAGTCGTGCAGCCATTCTCACCTCGTCCTGCGGCTGGCCATCGTAGTTGACACTGTCGAGGGACTCGCGCGAACCCCTCCGCGACCCGGACTTGCCACTGCCACTCTGCTCTTGTCCTTGTGCGTCGAGAAGTCCAAGTAGGGTATTGAGCGGCCCTGCCGCTGTTCCAGAGCCTGCCATATTTATGGCAGAGTCATATTCATGAGCATTTTTGATAATCCAAACAGAATTCTGTAGTCCCCCTTGAGTTTAAAAAGTATGCACATTGTGCAACACAGTACTGCAACTGAAACACGCAATCAGACCTGCCAACACAGCTATGCGACTGCATGCAAAACACACATACCTCCTTGCGCGCCCTAAGAGCACAGTCCTCCAGTGTCTCGGCTGCCTCGTACTTGCCCTGTCGTCGATATAGGGCACCCAGGTTCTTCAGTGTGGTAGCCACAGTGGGGCTGCATGCAAAACACAACAGCTGTTACTTTTGACACCCACAACAAATACCTTCTCACCCACTCTTCACTTATACATTTTCTTGTACATTCCCATGTTTCCTGAATTTTGTACCAGCAATAAATCTACCGACACCATTCTATTACAACCCCCTTCACACACATTGTTGCTGCTAGGTTCCTGCCCCGATATGTTGTGAATTGTTGTTCCGCTAGATTTATTGAGAAGATATGCCAATGAGTCTGGTGATGTGGATTGCCATATAGCCATTGAGTCGCTCTAAATAAGTAACAATTGTTGGGGCTTAATGTCCCAAAAATACAATATTATAAAGGACGCCACAGTAGAAAGCTCCAGAAATTTTGACAGCCTGGGGTTCTGAATGTGCACGGGCCTCAAGCACATTCACCTGCATCGAAAATGTGGCCGCTGCGGCCACCAAGCGCGTTGAACACAGCCAGACTTCCATCAAAGAGTTCTTATGGCCATAAATTTTTCTGAGGTAGGGTTGTGTGAAATGTGTCTGCTTTATTATTTAGCTGCATTTCCCCCATTCAATTCCATGTTTATATTACAGTCAGAACTCGGTACAATAAATTTCAAAGGGGGGGGGGGGAGTGATTCTTAAATGAAAAGAAGTTAAAAGTGAGCCCATAACTGTCTCTCAGGGGGAGGACACCTCAACAGTAGCTGACGAGGAATGGGGGTAAGGAGGGAATAAAAAGGATAGGAATTAAAGGTATAGAGATAGAGATAGGCGCAGGAACAGCCACATATGGAAGTAAGAAGAAGATATGAAAGATGGACCCGGAAGTCTGAGGAGGGTGCACCACTCAGCGAGAGCTCTTGTCGGCGTAAGGAGATGGCATAGGGCGAGCCAGTCGGCTAGAGCTGCGCTGTCGTCGGAGATCGGGGGGCACAACCGGTCGGCACTAAATCCAGTGAGCGAGTTCTCAAGGGGCCAATAATATTGCTCGTTATCTTGAAAAGTTGTTCAAAGTAAGAAATTCAAGCTTAAACCGTAATTGCAATTAAATGAATTGCCTACCTGTGCTGGGTATACATCCGCAATTGCATTATTCCTTATTAAGTGACAAAATAAACAAAGTATTACAGAATAAGTGCATGTTTATTTGAGAATGAGCATGACCTCTGCCTGATGAGTATAGCTCAACTGCTGCAAGGCAAAAAAAATCCTGAGTGTGCTTTCATCTTAAGCACTTCAAACATCAGCATTAGATACTGATTCATCACGTTGGTTAGCGTTTACTGTTTCAAGATTGTCTTTGCTTTCATCACCTTTTTCTTATTGTAACTGCTACGGATCTAACTGGTTCGTCCGCTCAGACGACACGCATACTTTGTCATCGCACTGTGCATAGTGTTCAAACTTAAGTGAACACTACGCACCCTGCAACTTCATGTCATAGGTCACTTGCATCACATTTTTCACTATCGCCACACTCCTTTTGTGCTCCTTTCAGAGCTAATCGTGAACACACAACCATCAAGTAAAGGCGAGCAAAACAACAGTGAAACGAAAGCTTTCCAACAAAACAGAGGCAACGAGGCAAAGCCTGACATGAAAAGCAAGTACAGCGATGGTGACAGCGCTGGCGCACATTTAGATTTTGCCAGGCGTAGAGTCACTATGTATGCTCCCCACAGGAGAAGAGTTGCACATAAGTCTGCCATCTTGCCTACCAAGACATCCTTGTTAGCAGAAGGCTACTCCTGTCAAATGTAGGAGCTGGCACGGCTAGGCAGCTCCTTGTGGTTTTTCGCCCGCTCATGACGCGTCGCAGGTGCAAAAACTACCCCGCTTTCAAAAAAAAAAGGGAAAGCTTGAACAATCAAAGAACTTAGAAGAAACTGGTGAGAAAGGCTGTTCGATAGAAGTCACTATTTGAAGCAATATTTGGATTTGTGCAGTGCGAATAGCAACATTCTGAATGCAAAGCAACTTTGAATACTGAAGTGTGAGTACGAATTGAATAATTTTCAAATATTTCTCAAATAGTTGGTCTGAAATAATTCTCCAATAGTTCGAAGCAAAATTGCAGATAAGAAAGTTGTAGCAGATTTCTAAGCCTATTCTTATGAGAAAGCAACGTAAAACTGTTTCTTTCGGCTAAGTTGATAAAGCATTGCCAGGGTGTGTTTTGTAGCTGTATGAATAAGGCAATGCAGCAACCGAATTTTATTTATGTTTGTGATATGTGGGGTTTAACGTCCCAAAACCACTATATGATTATGAGAGACGCCGTAGTGGAGGGCTCCGGAAATTTAGACCACCTGGGGTTCTTTAACGTGCACCCAAATCTGAGCACACGGGCCTACAACATTTCCGCCTCCATCGGAAATGCAGCCGCCGCAGCCGGGAATCGAACCCGCGACCTGCGGGTCAGCAGCCGAGTACCTTAGCCACTAGACCACCGCGGCGGGGCTCCTCTTTCAACTTCTGTGGAAGCCTAACAACAGATGTAGCGGGCAAGGGTGTGCTCCCTTCAAGTTGGGAGTTCCAAATCCGCCTTGTAGACTTCAAGATATCCGAACATCTGACATTTTAGATGTCAAAAATCTGGGGTGTGCAATTTTGCAAACTTCCTGCCCAAAGTGCAGGTTCAGAACAGCATTAATTGAGCCCCCAGCCTCTGCCACATCTATCATCAGAGAGAGAGAGAACTCTTTATTGAAATGCAGAGAATTTAGCCGGCATATAGAATTCGCTGACTTGATACTCTGCATGGAGAAGGGGATTGAGGATTAAAAGCACGAATAGGAAAAGAGAGAGAAAAAAATACAATGTAAATATAGATGATAGAGTAAAAACAAATATAGGAAAAGGCCACCTCTTGGACCATTGAATGAGGACGCACATTAATAGTTTTTTCATAGTGTCAAGCTACAGCTACAGCTTGTCTAGCTGACCGATGCTGTCCAAGTATGCAAACAAAAGTTTCATAGCACGCCTCTGTAAAGTGGGGCAGGCTAAAGGTCTCAGTACACAGTCAAGGGAGAAAGTTCTCTCGGTTATAGAATGCGTGCAATGTTCATAAAGTGCCAATCATCAGCGTATGCTCTACACTCAAACAATATACGTTCCACAGTTTCGATGGAGCCACAGTTGTTGCAATACAGACTCGCTGACTGACCGAAGCGGTACCGTAGGCTGTTCAACATAGGCACTGTTTAAACGTAGACGATGGTATAGCGTTTACAGATGGCGAGGAATTTCGAATGAGAGTCTTGTTCTCAGATAGGACTCGATTGAGTGAAGGAAGGCATAATGATGTGTCGGAAGGTTCCAGCGTCTCTTATTTTCATCAATCGCAAGTCTTTTGGCCATCTGGGCTGCATCTGATTTAGTGAAATAAGTTCATCTGTAATTGTGGTGTCGAAGACCTTTGCGTGCTGCTTCATCTGCTTTTTCGTTGGCGGAAATGCCACAATGAGCTGTATCCACTGAAATGTGATAGAGTTCCCTGCGGTAACAGGCAGGTGATGTAGATATGCTATGTCGAATGAACAGGGTAAGAATTCGTTTTCTTTAGGAGGTTAAACAATATATGTAGCACTTCCTTGGAGTCGGTGAAAATTACCCATCGGTCTGGCGTTTAGCACAAGATGTAAAGAACAGCTTCTTTGATGCCATGAAGTTCTGCTGCTGTCGAGGATATCTTCCGTTGAAGTCGACAGGATAGCATTTGTTTTGTAGAAGGGATATAAAGTCCATAAGCAGAAGTCTCCTGGGTGGTTGAGGCATCAGTGTAAATATGCCAGTGCTGAGCATAGTTCTCGGCTAAGAAGAGGAGAGTAGTCTGCATCAGCGCAGCCTGTGACATTCGTCTCTTTGCCCCATTGATGACAGGTACAACTTTTTTTACAGTTAGAGGCGAAAGTGTCCAAGGAGGAAATGTTGCAGGCATTAATTTTTGTGGCTGATTAACAGGCGAGAGTTGAAGCATTCGCACAGCTTGGCCGAACGAAGAATTGCTGTGCATTAGGTGAACTCAGTACAGGAAATGCTTTTTACCTTGTAATACATGTCGAAGATGAGTACGCATGGTTTCTTGGATAGAGATGACATCCAGTGGGTGACATCCTGCTTCCGCTACACTTCCCAATGCTGATGAGCTCTTGGGGGCCCTAGACATATTCGTAGGCAGCTGTTGCGTGCGGCTACCGAAATTCTCTTGTTTACTGGGGAGAATCGGTGAAGCTCCGGTAGACAATGGCACAATGTTCCTTCAATGTATGCTTTCTGAAGCAGTACCATTGAGCAGCATCTACATTCCCATCGTGTTCCAACCATGAAATTGAAGAGTTGAGTCGCTGCTACTATTCTAGTTCGAAGTTTCTTCACCTGAGGAAACCAGGAAAGATTTCTGTCAATGATGAATCCCAGAAATCTTTGAGACCGTAAATAGGTCAGCGGTCGTCCACCGAGGAGTAGTGCATACTTGTTCATTTTGTTTCTCATGAAAGCAATGGCTGTGGTCTTTTCTGGTGAAAGGTGCATGCTTGGGGTGCTTGATAAGTGGAGATGTTCTGTAACGCTTTTTGAAGTCGCTGTTTGGTGATGTAACGTGACCTTGAAGCGTTTCAGATACAGATGTCATCAGCGTAAATCGTGATGTGTACTTCTCAAGGAAGTCACTTCGTTATGTGTATCAGGGTAAGGTTGAAAAGGAGCGGGCTGAGTACAGCACCCTGGGGTACACCCTTATCTACTGTAGAGAACTGTGTGGGACCATTTGGAGTGCTCATATATTTTTCACTCTTTTAGATAGTTCTCAATCCATTTGTATAGATTCCCTCCTAGGCCGAGATCTTCCATGGTTGCGAGAATGGCATGGTGAAAGACTGAGTCGAAAGCTGCCTTGATGTCAAGGAGTACGGCTGTCGGGATTCAACCTGAGGAGAGGTCCTTTTCAAGAAAAGAAAGATCACCACTTTGAAACCAGCAGTATTTTTCTTTTAGTCAATACATTTGCAATCA